CCGCCACCCAAAACCAGCAACGGCGACACCAACTCCTGCCGACCAATTAGAGAAGGGGCGGGGGGGAGAATAGCTGATTTCTAATTTCAGATGCTTTCTACTTTCTCTACGAAGGGTTTCACTTCTGCGGGTGCAGGTTGTCATCTTTTCCCTGAATTAGTAAATGTTACACTGTTAAAGATTTCTATTTATGCAAAAAACTAAATAATTCTTCTGACTTCCTCTTTCTTTTCTATATATATAGATATTCTATCTCTCCCTCTCTCTCTTGGCTATGATTTCCATTTTCTTGGTCGTGGTTTCAGATTCTGTGTTGTACTTGAAAATATACTTCGCTCCTTTTTTCCTTAATTTTTTTTATCAAAGACCAATGTTATTTCTTATCCCTCGATCTCTGTTTATTTTTTTTTACACTGACGAAATGTACATATAATATTTTATTCGCAGTGAGTGTACTATGAAAATGGTGAGACAAGATTCATATCAAGAAGATTGATAACTCGATGTTGGTGTCTTCATTGCTGGTTTAAAGTGGGGAGTGGAATAAGAAGTATGGGGGCTGATGATGTTGCAGAGAAAGAGTCAATTCCATCTTCTGTAGGTTAGTTTAGGTTGGATGGGGGGTGGGTGTCGGGGTGGGGGTGAGATGAGGAAGAAGATGATTTTTAATTTTTATTTCTTCTCTCTTTTTTATTTTATTTTATTTTTATTTCTAGTTTTTTAAATTATTTTATGTATATAATAGCAAATTTACCATTTTACCCATTTTAATTTGGTCAAAGTCCACCTTCCTTGGTCAACTAACATTCAAACGGATGGTAACCGTCTATTTGGACCCCAAGTGCATATTTTTGAAATGTTTGGGAGTATGGGTGGCACAAATGAAAGGTTTGGGCAAAGTCTGCTAATAAACGAAAGGTTTGGTACCTCGACTACAATTTTTCCTATGTTTAATATTTAGACAATGATGAATGATTGAGTCATGGGATGACTAAAACATGTAAAAATTACTAGATAAGGACAAGATAATCGTTATCTTAATGTATGGCCCGACCTCGACCTAAATCCTGAAAATCGACCTTAATTCTTGGATAATTGACGATGGTTGGGATCGGGCTTTTGAGTTCGAGATCAGATGTTGCAAGAATTGTGCACATCACGAACCTTTAAAAAAATTAGTACTTTGGGGTCCAAATGGATGATTTTATGTAAGCTTGACCGTTAGTTAACATAATAAATTTGACTTTGACCAAATCTAAACCATTCTTAATGGGTAAAATGGTTACTCTGCATTTTATACCTAAAATAAGGTAAAAAAAAAATTAAAATGAAAGCCCGTCATCTTTCCTATGCCCACACTAACCCTACTCACCCACCCCACCCCTCCCAATCAAAAAATAAAATTGTCCTCTCACCCAAACCAACCAACCATCATAAGCCCATGGAAAGGATTTCAACAGACAAAAAGCAGTGGTCAATAATCCAAATCAAGGGAAAATTGTAACTTTTCAATTTCGATTTTGACATAACAATGGCAAAAGATGAGGTAATTTCACCTAATCTATCACTAATTTCTTTTATCTAATCTCAAAATTTCTACAATTTTTTGCTGTGAATTTTTGGTGGCAATAGCTAGCCAAGGTACTTCTATTTTTCTCAAAGTGTTGACTGTCATTTTGATGATGTTGATGGGGTTTCGATATGTGTTGATGGGCAGCTGAAGGCTGGAGAATGGTGGTGGATTTTGACTGTGGATGAAAGGCAAGGGAATGGTGGTGATTTTGGATTATGGTTTTGGGCGATGGCTGAAAGTAGGGGAATGGCAGTGGCTTTGGATTATGGTTGAAAGCAGGGGGTGAGGGGAAATAAAAAAACTTTATTTTTTCAGCAAAAGAAAAATTGACTTAGACCAAGTAATATGAGAAATAGGGAGGAGATATTAGCAAGAAAAGTAGCAAAGTCAGTGGAGAAGGGCAACGGAGGTGGTGGGGAGGGCTAAAAGGGAACCAACTGGTTTGGGGTTTAAGAGGAGATGGGGTGTGGGAGGGAGAAGATGAGTAAAATGACTAAAATGGAGGAAAGTGAAAGTTTAAGGATCAAGTTGCAAATAATCTAAAGATAAGACGGGCGATGGAATGATGATTTGAGAAAGCTAGGAGTCCATTGGGTGCATTTAGAAGTCAAAAGAAGTTAAATATTATCATAACATATTCACAAATCAAATTCTAACCGCATAAAGATTTTCCAAATTTTTAGCAGGACATTGAAGTCCACTTTTGACCTAGTAAATGTCAGAATTTGGAAGCAAAAATTGTAGCTTTTTGTGTTAGCTTTTTAACGCACTTTGAATTGTCTTAATTTGACATTGGGAAAGAAAGTTATGGTCAAAATACTGAAAGTAGTCGCACATAATATTCTAACCGAAAATTTAGTTTCCTTATTCGATTCAACCTCTTTTGAAAACAACTTGGCACACGGTTTTAAGCCCTAGACTGGACAGAGAACGCCTCTTTTCATCCTCACATCAATTTTTTTTTACTTTTTGGCTCAAGAGTTCCATGAAGAACTAAAACCCTTGGTGAAGCGTGGAAGGAACTCATTGGATTTGGGGAAATCACATCAATTGCTCATGTAATTTGGTATTTTATTGTCAAACAATTCTAGATTTTAGATTTCTCCTTATGAATTGATTTTGAAATTAGTTTAATTTTTATTAGATCTTTCATAGATTCAATCATATTTTTTCTAATGTTTGATCGAAATACTTATTGAGTTACAATTTCATTCATGTTATTGGTAGATTATTTATGATCTTATGGTTGAAGTACATGGTTACTTTTGATCTTACTCCAATAACAATTATGGGAACGTGTTAGAAAGTCTAAATCTTACAATTACAATTGAACTAAAGTGATTTTTACTGTTAAATTTTCCGATTAGAGAGTTGGGATGAAAACCTCTAATTGAGTAACAATACATGAATTGTTGATGTTGATCGATCCAACCCAATTGAGAGAATTCTAATGATTCACTAATTTTACATATTGATATTTAAATTTCATTCCAAACTGATAAACTAATTTCACATAATTCTCGAAACCGCTAAGTTTCTGATCCTTTGAGCATTTCCCATCTCCCTGTGGAATTGACACCCTAAGGCTATACTTCAATTACCATGTCATACTTTGGGCGTAATCAAATTTTGGCACCGTTGCTAAGGATTCAAAAATCACTCGATCTTTTTCCTGTGTTGAGTCTTTAGAGCCTTGTTTTGTGTGTGGAGAGAGTGGTCACCTTGCACAGGAGTGTCCCACTCATGCTGAAATGAGGGAACTTTATGAGGGACACTGTAATGCTCTAGGCATCAAAAGCCCTACGCCCTTTACCTCAAGACTTACAACCCAGGGTGGCGAAATCACCCCAAGTTTAACTGGAAGTCTGAAAACCAACAACCTGCCCAATCCAATAGAGCTTACAATGCACATCCACGTCAACCCACATCCTCTAGAAATTCCTTAGAAGATACTTTACATTCATTTATTGAGACATATGGTAAAACAAATAAAAAATTTGAGACTATGAGACCAGTTAGTTAAGGAAAATAAAGAGAAAGAATCATGTCTCCAAACTAACCAATGCCTTAGCTGTAGGGGAACGTGGAAAATTTCCAGCTCAAGCTCAACCAAATCCAAAGGGTCAACACATGGCACAAATTTCGGGATCAGGAGAGACCAACTTTAAGGAAGTAAATACCATAACCACTAGATCTGGAAAAGTCATTGAACTAGCCATTCAATCTAGGGAGAATGAAAAAGAATCAAGCAAGCCTAATGAGAGTAGCCCTAGTGAAGAAGTAGCAGAAGTTCCAGTTAGGGTACCTTTCCCTCAAGCCCTCAAATCCACCTCGAAGTCAACCACTCAACACAATGAAATCCTAGAGCATCTTAAACAAGTAAAAATTAATTTGCCTCTTTTACATGTGATCTCTCAAGTTTCTACATATGCTCAAGTCCTTAAAGACTTATGCACTGTGAAGAGGAAACATCATGTCAAGAAAATCGCTTTCTTTACCGAGTAGGTGAGTGCTGTGACAGAGCAGAGGATCCCACCAAAGTATAACGACTCTGGTTGTCCTACCATCTCTTCTGTCATTGGGAACCGTGAGTTTACACAAGCCCTTCTTAATTTAGGAACTAGTGTTAACCTCGTGTTATGCTATATACCTGTTGTAAGGTATGGGAGAGATGAAACCTACCTCAGTGGTCCTTAATTAGCTGATAGGTCTACCATAAGACCTAAGAGATTAGTTGAGGATGTGCTAGTTCAGATTGATAAATTTTACTACCCCATTGATTTCTTGGTACTAGATGTGAAGGTTGAGGTAAATGTTGATTCTAAAATCCCAATTATACTTGGTAGACCTTTCTTTGCTACAACTAATGCTCTAATCAATTGCAGGAATAGTCTGATGAAGCTTTCTTTTAGGAATATAACTCTAGAAGTTAATATTTTTCATGTCACCAAACAACCTAGAGAAGAAGATGAATCTCATCAAACCTACATGATTGATGGATTAACGCAGGAGGAAGCATTTGCAAAAATTGATTATGATCCATTGAACTCTTTTCTCCTAAACTCTAAAATCTCAATTGGTTTTGATATTGATGAATATACTAATATTTGTGTTGTTTTTGCAAAATTGCAGGACCATGGGACTTTGCCATGGCAACCCAAGTTTGAAGAATTGCTTGAAATGACTGGAGGACAAAAACCATCGAGCATCGAGAGCCCTAAGCCAGAATTGAAACAACTACCCCCAGGACTGAAACATGTATTTCTTGGACTAGATGATACCTTTCCTGTAATTATTTCTTCAGAATTGAATGCTTTGCAATGTGAATAGCTTTTGAGCATTTTGAATGAGAATAAATCTGGCCCAATTGCAAATAGTAAATGGGTTAGTTCTACACATGTGGTCCCTAAGAAGTCAGGTGTCATGGCAGTTAAAAATGAAGTAGGTATAGTAACTGGTTGACGCATGTGTATTGATTATAGGAAGTTAAATGCTGCTACTCACAAGGACCATTTCTCTCTCCTTTTTTTGGACCAAATACTCGAACGTGTAGCTGGTCATTCCTTTTATTGCTTCCTAGATGGATACTCTGGTTACTATTAAATTGAAATAGCTTTAGAGGATCAGGAAAAGACCACATTCACATGTCCTTTTGGTACTTATATATTTCGTAGGATGCCATTTGGACTTTGTAATGCCCCTGCCACCTTCCAAATATGTATGATGAGTATGTTTAGTGACATGGTAGATGATTGTATGGAAGTATTTATGGATGACTTAACTGTGTTTGGAACCTCTTTTGATGCATGTTTGTTGAATTTGAAGAGAGTTTTGGCTAGATGTGAAGAAAAATGCTTAGTTTTGAATTGGGTCACTTCATGCTGCCTTCCGGTATTGTCTTAAGACATGTCATTTCTTTAAAAGGGATAGAGGTTGATAAATCTAAGATTGAACTGATTTCTAAACTACCCACACCTAAGACAGTAAAGGACATTAGCTCATTTCTTGGTCATGCAGGTCCTTATAGGAGGTTTATACAAAATTTCTCATCTATATCTAAACCCTATGTAACTTGCTTAACAAACATTTGACTTTTGAATGGACGCTTGAATGTCAAAATGCTTTTGAACTGTTGATTGGTAAATGTACCTATAATGCAACCACCTGATTAGACATAGCCATTTGTAATTATGTGCAATGCTAGTGATTTTGCGGTAGGTGCTATTCTTGGGCAACGAAAGGAAGGTAAGCCTTTTGTGATTTATTATGCTAGTAGGACTCTAAATAGTGCTCAAATGAACTATTCCACTATTGAAAAAGAGTTGTTAGCTATAGTCTTTGCACTCGATAAGTTTTGATCCTATTTGATTGATTTTTCCATTACTATTTTCACAGATCATCCAGCCCTTAAGTATCTTCTTGCAAAGAAGGATGCTAAGGCATGATTAATACGATGGATTCTACTTTTGCAATAATTTGACATCACCATCAAGGACAAGAAGGGAGTGGAAAATGTCGTAGCAGACCATCTACCAAGAATGACATTTGAAGACACCTCAAACACTATGCCAACTAGAGATGGATTTCCCGATGAGAATCTATTCTCTGTCTCTTTACCCTGGTTTGTTAACATTGTAAATTATTTGGTTGTAGGTGAAATTCCAAAAGAATGGAGCACACAGGATAAGAGGAAGTTCTTAGTTGAGGTACGTAACTTTTATTTGGATGACCCTTGTTTATTTAAGTATTGCCCCGACCAAATCTTAGATGTTGTGTTCCTAATGAGGAGACACCTAGTATACTAGATTGTTGTCATATCCAAGCTTGTGGAGGCCACTTTTCTATGAAAAAGACCGCTACAATGTGGTTTTTGTTGGCCTACTTTGTTTAAAGATACTGATACTTATTGTAGATCTTGTGAGAGGTGCCAAAAACTAGGTGCTACTTCCCGACGTAATATAATGCCTTTAAATCCCATTTTGGTAATTGAAGTGTTTGATTGTTGGGGCATCGACTTTATGGGACCCTTTCTACCTTCTTTTAGCTACCTTTATATCATTGTGCCAGTTGATTATGTGTATAAATGGGTAGAGGTAGCTACTTTTAGGGCCAATGACAATGAAACGGTTGTTAAGTTCCTTAAAGAAAATGTTTTGTCTCAGTTTGGCACACCATGCGTCATTATTTGTGATGAGGCACACACTTTTACAAGCGTTCATTTGAGGCACTGATGAAAAAGTAGGGGATTATTTACAAAATTTCCACCGCTTATCACCCCCAAACTAGTGGACAGGTAGAGTTGGCCAATAGGGAGATTAAACAAATTTTAGAGAAGACGGTGAACCCCAATCGTAATGATTGGTCATTGAGACTACACGACGCACTATGGGCCTACAGCACAGCTTTTAAGACTTCCTTTGGCATGTCACCTTATAGGCTTATCTTTGGAAAGCTTTGTCACTTACTTGTCGAGCTTGAGCACCGAGCCCTTTGGGCTATCAGGCAGTTTAACTTCGATCTGGTAGAGGGAGGTAAACATAGAAAATTTCTATTGAGTGAATTGGAGGAACTAAGAAATGATGCCTACGAAAGTTCTAGAATTTACAAGTTGAAAATGAAAGCATTTCAGGACAAAAATATTTTTAGAAAAACTTTTGAACCGAACCAAAAAGTGTACTTGTATGATTCTAGACTTCATAAGCATCCAGGAAAACTCTGTTCTAGGTGGACTGACCCATTTGTGGTGACACGAGTTTTTGAAAAGGGGCTGTTGAAATAGAAGATCCCAATGATGGTAGGGTATTCAAGGTGAATGGATAGAGACTTAAAATAGCCTATGGGCAACAGGTGCTTGCAGTGGAAGAAATTTCCCTAGTAGACCCAGTTGCCTGCTCATGACACCCTTCAAGTATGTCTTTCACCCTTTTTGTATACTAGTTTTTAGATTTTTTTTCTTTTAGGTGTGTTTTGCATTTTTCTTTCAATTTATTTTCATTTCTTGTATCACCCATTTCCATTGAGAACCTCCAGGTCCACCATATTCAAGCTTCTGATGATTCACTACAATATCCATGTGACATCTTTCCCCTCTTTTGGTCGACATGTTTTTGCATTGAGAACAATGCAATGTTTGGATGGGGGGGAGAGTGTATTTGAAATTGTCTTGTGAATTACATGATATTCATGGAACTTTAGTTTTGTTTTACTAAATTGGTCTAAAATTTTTCCTTAAATCTCTATTTGCTACATGTTCATGTTCTTGAATGACAAAATATGTCACTAGAAGTTGATACTGTTCATGTGAGTCTAGATGTTGAGACACTTGCCGAATCATTTTGTGCACATAAGCATTGTGGTAAGATAGTGGTTTAATACATGTAGCTAGAGGAGTCTCTTGTTGAAGCTTTCTTGTGAGAGAATTGGTGAGGATTGAGAGCCATATATACTAAAAATGGTAATAAACATTCATTGATTTTGTGAATTGGAAACTTTTTCGGAGAATAACATTACACGGTATGTGGTAAGATAGTGGATTATACTTGGAAAATGATAACAGTCAATTTAGGACTAAAGTTGAGCCTTTAGACTAGTTCTTCTCTTCTCATGATTTTAATTTCCTAGTAGCCACTTTGAGCCAAAACACATATAACTATTTCTTTTCATGCGCCTATGTTATCCATACCTCTTCACATTGGAATAAAGTCTATAAACATTCATTTTTCAAACCTTTATGCTTCAAAGTGTATAGTAGGTATTGAATGTCATTTGAGAAGAAAAGCAACGAAGAAAAGTGATGAGAGTTGATAAGTAATCAGGTGAAGTGATGAATCTTAAAAGAAGAAGAAGGAGAATTTCAAAAAAAAAATCGCAAAAAGTTGATTAAAAAAAGGAGAAAAAAAGAAAAAGAAAAAGAAAAAGAAAAAGAAAAAGAAAAAGAAAGTGAATTGCTGTTGAGAATTGAAGGGTTGAGGAATGCGTTGATGTTGATATGTTGAAATACTTGTTGCGATGCCTAACTAGATACTTGGAAGTCCTTAAATTCTTTCTATCCTACTATTCATGTAATCCAACTTAACTCTTTTCACATCCTTTTCATTGGCTGTTTTGATCTTAAGTAGGGTTGTGGTAAGAAGTTGATGAATTCTCAGTTGATAGTGTGTCTATCATGTGATCAATATTTTCTTGTTGCTTGTTCATAAATTTTAAGCCTCCATGCTCTGAGAGTATATCTTTCTTAGCTCCACAAGAGAAAACCGCACTAAACACTTTGATACCCGTGAGTTATGGGGTTGAACCTTCAACTTGAGACATACTTATTGTTGCATGTGTTAGGGTTGGCGGTAAGATGGTTATGACTTGACACACACTCACACATTTGGTAAGCGTTTTTGATATTTTGATGATCATGGCATTGTTAAGTTCTTGTGGGGTTGAGTGTGAAAAGAACATGAACTGTGGTTAAGTTGAAACTTAATAATTTCACTTGTATCACAATCTAATCATTCATTTGCTTATTCTGCATTAAATTGCTAGGGACTAGCAATAATCAAGTTGGGGAGTATGATAAGAGTGTAAAATATAATATTTTCTCCTCTTAATTATTGCATTGGTCTGATTATTTGATACCAAGATACACTCATTATACTTATACTTTGATTCATGTTGCATTTTGATAGAAAAGGTGAAATTTGAAAGAAAAGAGCAAAAAAGGACCAAAATGGAAGAAAGTGAAAGTTTAGGTACCAAGTTGCAAATAATCTAAAGATGAGATGGACGATGGAATGATGATTCAAGAAAGCTAGAAGTTCATTGGGTGCAATTAGAAGTCAAAAGAAGTTAAATATGACCATAACATATTCACAAATTAAATTTCAACCGTATAAAGATTTTCCAAATTTTCAGCCGGAGATTGAAGTCCACTTTTGACCCAATAAACCCTTTGTGTTAGCTTTCTAACATACTTTGAATTGTCTTAATTGGATATCGAGAGAGAAAGTTATGGTCAAAATACTGAAAGTAGTCGCACAGAATATTCTAGCCGAAAATTTAGTTTCCTTATTCGGTTCAATCTCTTATTGAAACAACATGGCACATAGTTTTAAGCCCTAAACTGGACAGAGAATGCCTCTCTTCATCCCCACATCAATTTTCTTTGGTTTTTGGCTCAAGAGTTCCATGAAGAACTAAAACCATTGGTAAAGTTTGGAAGGAACTCATTGGATTTGGGAAAATCACATCAATTGCTCATGTAATTTGGTATTTTATTGTCAAACAATTCTAGATTTTAGACTTTCTCCTTATGAATTAATTTTGAAATTGGTTTAATTTTTATTAGATCTTTCATTTATTAATCATGTTTTTCTATTGTTTGATTGAAATATTTATTGAGTTGCAATTTCATTCATGTTATTGGTGGGTTATTTATGATCTTATGCTTGAAGTATATGGTTACTTTTGATCTTACTCCAATAACAATTGTGGGAATGTGTTAGAAAGTCTAAATCTTAGAATTACAATTGGAACTAAAGTGATCTTTACTATTAGATCTTCCGATTAGAGAGTTGGGATGAAAACCTCTAATTGAGTAATAGTACATGAATTGTTGATGTTGATCGATCTAACCCAATTGAGGGAATTCCAATGCTTCACTAATTTCACATATTGATATTTAAATTTCATTCTAAATTGATAAACTAGTTTCACATAATTCTCGAAACCGCTAAATTTCTAATTCTTTGAGCATTTTTCATCTCCCTGTGGAATTGACATCCTAAGGCTATACTACAATCACCGCGTTATAATTTGGGCGTAATCCCTAAATTAAAATGTTAAAATATTTTTTATTTTATTTTAACAGTTTTATGTTGTGGCGTATCAATAAATTTACATGCAAAGCGATTATGCAAAAGATCACTTTTCGTCCTTGTTTAAGCCTCATTATTTAAAAAGTCATTTTTTCTCAATTCATTTTCAACTACACATCTTCTCAATAAAATAATTATACATGTAAACCCAAGTTTTTTCATACTTTTTTTTAACAACATAGTCACCAAAAAAAAAAAAATTAATAA